TGTCGCGTATTAGCTGGGGCCAGATTTCGGTCCATTTGTTTTGCTGGGTGACTTTCCAGTAGTGTGTGTAGCTGGGGAGTGGTGGGTTAGTGGGGTATTGGAGGTTGGGGGGGGGGGGGGGATATTATGAATGGGGAGGAGTAATGAGGGAGGGAGAATAGAGATGAAGATATCTTTATCACTTACCCCATATTGAAGATGCGAGATTGGTGTTCTTGGGAATTGGTAAGATCTTATGTTAACGTTGGGAAAGTAATCGATGGTCTCTGATCTTTGTCTAGGGAAAAGGTCAAGCTTAAGAGATAGAGATTCTATGAACCTCGGCCTTATAATATATCCCCGATGATGAAATACTGCACTGCCTAGGAATGGCGCGTTGGTGAAACATCAATAGGCAGCAAAGCCCCTAGGCATGCGCGATATGTGTGCGAAAACACGTGATATGTGCTTCTTGCTAGTATTAATTTATCCGGGTTGAAAAAAACAAGTATGATTTTTGAAAGTATGTCTGTCGAATGATTTAGAGGATATTTGCATTGCTTGCAAATTGCTTCTGTTGGGAGAAGCATGTGCATGTTGTTACCGGGTAGGTTTTAGAGTTACGGATTTGTCATCCAGCGATTCTGATAGGCCCAGACCGGACTTCTTATTCTCGGGTAACCCTCCTTCACGATGTTAGTTATTCGACATAAAATTGGCTGAGGATAATCAACCCCGCGCTTGGTGTCAGCCACTGCCGATGCGATGTGGTTCGTGAAAGGTGATGGCCTTTCCCCGGTCAACTCTTTACAACACATGTGCACCTCCCAAGATTTGAACACAGCAGTATTCAAGCAATCAAAGCAAACATAATAGTCTGAAGTCTGCTTACAAGGTGGGACAAGTGATATGCATGGAAGCAAGATTGATGTACATTACATCCGCCCTAATACTGCCAGCCGGTGCGAAACAAAAAGTGAGTCATTTTAGAAATAACAAGCATTTCTCCAACCTCAGCAAACGAAGAAGTGGTACCAACCACCCAAGAAATGCACCACCTTCATCTTTTCCTAATGAAGGTATCGATCGATTCCAGGTGCCTTTTTGGCGGGTTGCATTAACTTCTCTTGGATCTCTGGAAAACCCTTTAGACGCATCACATACATTTCCATCATCCAACGCTAAATCTGGCAGCTTGCCGGTCGGCGCCTATAATTTTACCACGTTTCTTCCGTATTTTGCCTTTGGTATAGCAGATTCTTATGAAGACTGTTGGGCTATATCAGAATGTTGCGGGCGACTCTTGAAAAATTAGAGTCAATCTAAGTCGGTCTGAATGTTGTCAACCTGTCAACTTAATCTGACCTCCTTTTTCAATATGTGATTTTTATCTCTTGATCAGCGTCCTCTGCATTAAATACCTGGCCAGTCCTCTATTTGTCCCCGGCTTGTTCTTGGGGTTGCGGTTGAAAATGACTTTTTAAGTCGCAGTAGAGTTTCCAATCACTGGTTTGACTTGAAGGTGAATATTGCTTAGGTTTTTTGATATTGAAACTTGAGGGTTTTGGCGGAGCCGACTAAGCTAGGATTGTGAGGTGAATCGGTGACGATTGGATATTTGACTTCTACGTGAGTAACTGCTCAGTAATTGTCTGATAATCATTATGTTCGACTTCTCATCATAATTCGATCAACATCAATAAACTCGAAGCCTGGCCGATACTTACCAGAGCTACTCAAGTAAATCCGGAAGGACGTTGAACAGCCTGTATTTTTAAACAATTATTCAACAACATTCAGTCCCTACTGCGAACAATTATGAGCTATGCATAATAAGGATTAAAGTTCATATGAGAGACACTTCGACGGACAGCTTACCCTTATATCCCTGTGTTTACGCTACAACAACGTCGATTCTCGAAAATTCACAGCGGTAGAATTTTCTCTAACACTTACAGTAACAATAGCTTTTAACTAAGCGATATGATAACGCATATCAAAACTCCACATCAAGCACATTCCAAATTCGAACGACAGTTACAAAAACTCGCGATGAGTAATCGTAAGCGAGGCACTACTGACCTACTTTCTTACCAAACGAAGGTAAGTCAATTGGATACTCTTATGATTAAGTCCAATTTTCCGAACATTACAAAACCTACTCTGATTACGCAATCAATCTTCTACTACTCAACTCAACTCAACTCAACCCTAACCAAAACTAGTAATCTTTTAGCAACTCACAATTCAACCCTAACCGAAACTAGTAATCTTTTAGCAACTCACAACTCAACCCTAACCAAAACTAGTAATCTTTTAGCAACTTAAAATTCAATTCTAACCAAAACTAATAATCTTTTAGCAATTCACAACTCAACTCTAACCAAAACTAGTAATCTTTTAGCAACTCACAACGCTATCATTCCCTCCCAAGCCCATCCATCATATATATTCCCATCCGCGGTTCCTCCCGCCCCACTTCCCCAAAAATAGGGCATTCCCATTCCCATCCCCGTTACCGTTACCGTTACCCATCGCAATAAATCTCCATAAGTTTATTCCCGAAATCTCCAGCACAAAACAACCATTCCTTGTATCCACCGGTTCACTCATCCGAATCCCAATCACATACTCATGATCATCCATACATACATACCATTCCATCCATCAAAGCAAGACACTTGCTTACACAGATTACGAAGAACCGCTTATTAACACACCCAGCATCTTAGCGAAATGAACTCGAATCCTTCGTGTAACGATGACTAACTAATTCACACAAATTAGCATGCTATCTATCGGTTGAAATGTCAGCAAGGTTAATGACGCATAACCTTAAATCCTCGAAGGATTTAAAATTCGTGTTAGGGGTGCGGATTTGGGTTAGTACGATTGTATGGGATGTTCCTTCTCGTACTGAGGATTTTTGATCCTTGGTTCTTGGGGTGGAATGGGATTGATTGGATTGGATTGGATTGAGATGCGTACGGGTAGGTTTCTATAGTTGGGGACGGGTGGATTTGTGTAGGGTTTTTGTGATATGTGAGGGATCTCGCGATTTTGCTGTTATGAGGTCGTTGGGTTATGGAAAGATGTTTGTGTAAGCATGAAGATTGAAGATTATATATATGAGTTGTTGGGTTAAATCTTAACATCATCATCCAATATCAATTCATTCTCTTTTCAATTCATCGTTTCTTCCACCCTCTCGTTGAACTCAGTCTTTTATTTTTGATTTATTTCACTATTTCTCCATATTGAAAACCAAGCGAAATCCTCATCACAATGTCTTCCAAATTCACCATCCCTCAACTCCTTGTCCTCCTTCCCTTCCTCGGCCTCGTCATTGCCGCACCCGCTCAAAAGTCTACTGCCAAAACAACATCTGCCACCGCAGCCCTCAGTAATGGTCTTACCGCCGGTAATCTCAAGCCCACCTGTGCCCCAGGCGGAAACATCGACCTCTCAATATGGACTCTCCAACTACCGACGGGGACAAAAGGGCATCCCGATTCCATCAGCGGTTCCAAGCTCGCCGGCTGCAATGGGTACACACAGAAAGACTATTTCTACACCAACACCGATGGTTCCGTCGTGATGAAAGTACCAGGCGGGGTATCCACCGGTTGCGTCACCACCGCCAACTCCAAGCACTGCCGCACCGAGCTCCGCGAAGCCAATCCCAGCTCCTGGGATCCTAGCTCCGCTAGCAATAAACTGAGTGCTACACTTCAAGTAATTACCGCCGATGATTCGACCCACGGCACTGTCATTGGACAAATCCATATCGATGATAGCGTATCTTCGAAGCCCGTGTGCGAGCTTTTCTATAACTCTCATGGAGTGATTTCGATGGGTGTTGAACAAACTAGAGCTGGTGGTAATGAAATTGTTACGCAAGTGGGGAGTGTGGCCGTGGGTTCTAAGTTCTCGTATGAGATTGCTTATGAGGGGGGGAAATTGAGCGTGGCTATTAATGGGGGTGCGGCGAAGGTTTTGGATACTTATCAGTTGGATAGTCCAAAGAGTTACTTTAAGGCTGGTAACTATAATCAAGGAGATAGCAAGTCTGAGGTGCATTTCTTTGCTATTGATGTTCAGCATTAGGGGTTGCTGGGATAGATAGTGATGGTCGAGGTTCACTGGTCAGACTGTGAGCTAGGAAGGAAGGATTGAGGACGATGAATGTTTTGTGGTTGATATTTTGGTTTTTGATTTGAGTTGTTGATTTTCTGTTGTTCATTTCATCTCGAGGCTTTCTTTCTTTACTTTTGGATTGTAAATAGACTCTAGAAGTTGTAGTGGAGTTCAATTCCGGAAGAATGACGAATATATATTTTCCCGGCATGCATTTTTCCCTAGACATACTTGACCAAGCTTTTCAGCCCATTCCGTCGATTTTGGTGCAGGATAAACCTCTTCTTATCAATTTCTTATGGTAACGGAAACGACATAGCTGCATCATACTGCATCATTTCACTTCCGGTGACTTGTACGAGCGCTTCATGACCACAGCCGACTGTGAAACCCAAGGACGACTACTCAGAAATAATCCGCAGTATGTCTGGCCCACTCGAGCCCGGGTACTTACTGCAGTATTATAGTCGGGCAATGTAACCTCATCTTTCGATCTTATCATAGCATCCAGGCATAAATATCGTTTGCACATCCCCTCCTCCTTTTCACGATGAAGCCATCAATGGAAGTAGATAGCTTCAGAACGTCTCAGCAAGAACAAGGTTCCTATCTTCGATATCCCATGATGCAAGTGCATGATATCTGAAGCTGTGTTATCGGTTGTTATATTGGTGTTTGTGAATGATGATGCGCCGCAGAAATAACAATATGTGAAAATAGCTTGGCGTAAATTGACCAGCCACACAACACACTGCCACACTCAAAAAACCACTCAAAGATCTTCCGGCCCACCTCTTCTACCGCGCCAGCTATTATATACTCAAACCCACGCAAGATTTCCAACAAACAGAGCAAACTGTGACCATTCGAGCCTACTCGAACCACTCTCGGTCGTCTAGTTGGTTTATGACGTCAGACTGTAATTGCATATTGTAATCTGGATGTCGCGTGTTCGACTCACGCCTGAGAGACTTTCATTTTTGTTTTGTTCTCCCTCGCCCTTCTCAAGTCTTTTTGAAAGAGAAGAGGGAAAGAATTGTTTTTCGGTATTTTTTTATTTTTTTTGGAAATGGTGAAGCAAGAGGATCAAAAAAGCGAGAAAGGCGGGGGAGGGTAGTGGGGTGATGGATAAATATATAAATATGGAGCCCGAGTTATGTACGGAGGTCGCACCACGCTGTATTTCAAGTGCTTAATTAGGCTCAAAAGTGTTTATTCAACTCTGTAATTTTGTTCAATTAGGATCAAATTCATTGTGTACTACTTCTCATAGGCTCGTTTAGCTTTGGTTAAGTGGTCCGGGTATAGAATATAGCCCTTTTATAGTGCTAGTACCCTGTAAAGCCCTATAACCGTATCCATACGTGGTGCGACCTCCGTAATAGTGTTGGTTTAAATTAGCTAAGCAATCCTATAGAATCATTAAACATTTTCATATATGCAGCGGCAATCGTATTCAATCTCGGTAAAACCGGATGGAAAAAGGAAAATGGGTTGTGAGAGGAAATAACAATACATAGCCGTGGTAAAATGTAGTATTGCTAATGGATGCATTACCTCGCTCGAGACAGGAAGGTAAATATCTGAAAACCGTAACATTATCGGCAATCCCGTAGATGACGAGCGGCGTGAGTATGTCCCTTGACACTGTTGTATAAAGCAGTTCACCTGGCTTCGTCCTTTGTATCTCGTCTCTAGCTTTCAATCATATATGCTCTATTCCTCGGGATTGATCGCAGTGTTTCGGATTTCCCCTCCTAGCCTTTCCTCTTCCTTCCTCCTCCTTTCCTGCTAAAGTTTAAAATTTTCTTTCCTCTCCCCATCCTCAACTTTGAAGCTTTCCTTCCTATCCTTTATATCAGGAAGGCTGAGGAAGGGAAAGTGTTGATGATGAGGTAGACTCAAGCCGAATATCATTCAGGCATACGGTGCTTGCGGATCTGGATTATAATGGACAAGAAACAAAATGGATTATTGAAGAGAGGTGGTTGGAAAACTCTTATAGAGATATGTGTAACTGAATAATTACATTGTTACTCTAATTAGAGGGTTTCGTACGCTTCTGATATATTAGTCAGCCTTTCCTTCTTACTCTTCTCCTTAACTGAAGCCTTTCCTTCCTACTCCTATCCTCAGAAGATTTTTTTGCTATCAGCAATTGAAACACCCAAAAAAACGAAAATCCTTTATAGAGCCTATATATCATCAGCTTTCGTCTCCATCAACTTACTATCAATTCACTCATCTATCCAACTACCTTCAAAATCAACCAAATAATAATCGTTTGTCTCATTATAAATAAGAACATTATATAGTTTACCATTACTCTATATACTACGCTAATCTTATACAATAACTCAATATTATATCTAATCTATTCCGCCCACTTTTTCCTCCGCTCATTATCAACAGCTTTGATGTCCTTCTTGTGACACAATTGCCGTAAAGAGCTGGAAAACCAGGGTTCAATTATCCTTAGAATCTATAACTAGAGAGTGAAAGGTCGATAACCCCGAAGGGGTTATATATACTAGTTACAGGCACGTGATCGACCTCCGAGCGCTAGCCGCTCGGAGCTCGATCGGTACGATCGGCTTACATAATCTTCGAACCGTGACACTTCTGAAACCCATCCAAAATTATTGTATACAGAATATACTCCTCCAAAATCCCAATAACTCCTTCATCATCATGACTAACAACAAAGCCGATCAATTTAGATGTTCTGATGAAAAAGGCTTGCTGAAAGTCCGTTATCTTCTTTAAACATTTATATTCATATTGTATAGCTTTATTGTAAGTAGGTGTTAACATCTTACAATATATATTCTATCCGTTGATTGAGACTTTCGCGATATACCTAGTATCTATGAGTTTCTTAATAAATAAAATCTTCTGTATTGAATATCGAAGCAAATTCGATATAACATTAATAACAAGACGGAAGATAAAGTTTGATCGAGAGCGATATTCTTGAATTATATCCGTATTACTTCGATCAATCATAACTAGAGAAAAATAAAAGGTTTCTGGATTGAAGACAGAGTGTAGGGAAATAGATAGGCTTGAAGATCCTCTTTCAGTTTCAGATCTTAAAAGAGCAAACCTGCACTATCTAGTTTTATAGATTATATCCTCGATATCATTTTGGGCCTTTTTTAGGTTTTCGTTATCATTCTTCAGAAATGCTTTGTTGTATTAAGATAATAGCAATGTTATTGAATCCTCAGGAAAGGAAGTAGGATATATTGTAATGATAAAGCGTTTGCCGTTATATATAATGGTAAAGTTGTGACGGTATCTGTTTTCTCTGTTGATTCTTTAGGTAAAGAAACTAAGATTCTTCTTCCATCGAGCTCTGTCCTCGTCCACCTGACCATTTCCTCCTATGTGACCAACATCCTCTACCGTCTCCCTGGCCTCCTCACTATCGCCCATGTCTGCCGCCATCACATTATTCTTTTTTTCCTCCAATTCCATACTTTCCACCTCCCTGAACCTTTGCCAATCCTCGTTGATAGTCATAACTTTGAGTTCAGGATTGCATTAAAGACAGACCAATGATATTGTCGAGGCATGTTTGTGATTAGAGTGTCCATGAAAAATGCTAGGTGAGGGGAAAAAAGACAATCAAGATTTGAATATATTGGTTTGTATATGCATTTCTAAAACGGAAGGTGCGCGTAGTGTCAAAAACAAATGAGGATCAGTAAACACGACGGAAACGGTTACAAAATGACTAAGTTGAAGTTGCGCATTTTCTTTTCTAAACTAGGTTGAATCGGAGTGGTTATATAGACCCTTTTGGAGTCACGTTACCCGCCTCCTTTTTGGTACGGTAACTGGATCAGAATTCGATGCTGTAGATGTTAAGAATTATAACAAAGCAATAATCAAAATATATTTCGAGTAGAATATATTAATATAAAACTAGAAAGTACGATAACGGTTAATTATAGGAATTTTTGTGATACAAATGCTGTAAAGAGCTGATAAATCAAAGTTCAATTATTCCTTAGAATTTAAAAGTAATGATTAAATTAAAAGATCGATGACCCCGAGGGGATTATATATACTAACTTGTTATATCGATAATGATCACGGATCTTATACTAATCGATCGTATACACCTGTAATCTAATTCCTTAAGATCACTATAGGATTAAGATTTTTATGAAATCACTTTTGTACAATTATTATTAATAGTAGATCGGATCTTGTAACAACTATAATTCATATAATCAAGCGATCATATAATAGAGTTTTAGAGTTTGAAGAACTTTATATACTCCTAAAACATAGAAGTTCCTAAAACTCCTGAAACTTCTAAAACGAAGATCTATATAGCTAAAATAGATTCCCTTATATAGAACTTCGTATTCAAAAACAATTATTAGTTTAAACACTATAGTTACTATACAATACGATCATTTATATTCTTACATTACCAAGCCCTTGTTTGACCCTTAATAAAAACAACTACGGTCTTTCTATCAATCCTTCAATCACTTCGGAGATTGTAGCGGCGTAACATAACTATAGATACGTGATCGATTTTGAGCAGCTAACGTTCGAAGTCCGATCGGTACGATCGGCTTATATAATCCTTTCAACCGTGACATATTTCAGAGAAGACTTTGAGAATTGGATTTTTGAACCCTTTATTCTCGTATCAATAGATATTCTTCAAAATTTCTATTACGAAAATGAAATTATAATATATCGAAATCTTAATATTTGAACCGGTATAGCGGGGTTCTATTATATAATCAAAAGAATTAGTAAAGTAAATAATTTATAGAGTTTTCTTCTCCACTTTTACTACATAAGCGAGAAAAACTAGATTAAACCCACAACGAGTTGATTGAATTTTCATAGTACTTATAACTACTAATTCTATAGAGAAGTCAATCAAAGGGCTTGTGGTTTAGTGGTATAATATTCCCTTAGCATGGGAAAGGTCCGGCGTTCGATTCGCCGCTAGTCCAATATAAGTAATAGATTACTCTGTATTCTTTTTTAAATTTTTTTTTTTTTTTTTTGAGATTTATAGATATAAACTGTCACGGAGCTAGCGAGCGGGTCCCGATCGGGCGCGCCCCCGAGTAGGCTAGAGGCTAGTGTCACGGGGTCCCCGTATATGGTATACGGAGACCGCTCGGGTTCCGACCCGTAGGAGTCGGACCTCGGATAAGTGTAGGCTAGCCCCGGTCGGGGCTAGCGCTACACATAAATGTGTTTAAGGAACCGTTCCTTCTATAGAAACGTAGCTCTTCGAGCTACGTCTTATCAATAAAAGTGATTTCTGTTATCCTGTCTGCTGCCTCCGTGATAGCTAGGCCCGGTCAAGCCTAGCTCTCGCACATTCTGTATTTATATCTGCCCCCCGTTCTTAGAATCGTAGCTCTTCGAGCTACGTCTTATTAATAAAGTTGTATCTATTATTCTGTCTGCTGCCCCGTGATACTTTTAAAGAGATAGTATGGCGTACTATAACTATCAAATACTGGAAATCTATTTTTGTTTTATATATTTTTATATTTTTATTTATTTTTCATTTTTAGAATATTGATTTTTGGTGGTGTGTAGTGAAAACTAATTTCTGATCAAGGAAATTTCGCGAGTTGGTCGTTCATGGATGGGCATGGGATAGTCTTTTCTTTTTCTTTTTGACGCGAGGATAGACTCCCCTACGCAATACTCTTTCGAAGAAATATGTATATTTCGCCGTTTATTTTCTGTGTACAGCAGGCAGTCTTTCCAATACCTTTTTCTTTCCATCACTGCGCACTCTCAATGATTTTGGGCGTCGGCAGTAATTGAGTGAACTGAATATAATTATGAATTTTATGTTTTCTTCTCTTGCACCGTCATTGAATTTGTGAGAACTCTACTTAACCACTGTAGTGTCTTTCTCTTCTGCGTATCTCTTTAAGACTTCTCCATATTTCCCACACACTCCTCGTTCTCT